AGTAACTAGTTGTGAGATACTTTAAGTGGTAAATTTAATAAATGAGACGATGGAACGATTAAATTTGTAACATTTTCAAATATAGGACATAAGCTCCTTCTCCCTACCCATTTGAGAGAGAAAAACAATTTGAGAGATATTATAGAGTTAGTGATGACGATTTGTAGCTAATATATATTTTATACATGAGATTGAAGTGATATGAAAGAGAAAGAGCTAGATTCACACATTTAAGCATTATACGGTTCAATCATCACTTGTGTATCTCATAGAATAAACATAGGTTTGGACAATTCTCCAAATCAAAAAATATAACATAATATGAATGTTGTAATGATGTTTCAAGTTAGTCTTGGTCATTATGTTACTAATATAATTTCATTATTCTTAAACTTTGCTTGCTCTAATGATGGTTTAACCTGAATTTGATTCGTATATCATGAAATATATAATATTTCTAAGCTTAATTTGATATTTTAAACTTTAATTGAACTAATGAATCCACCATTGTTTAATGATTACACTAATGGATATGATTTGGGAATTTCACTTTGACTTAGGGATTTAATGGTGTTTCAAGCTTTACTTGTGACACAATCTAAGTTTTGATATATTAAAACTCTTTAAAATTTCATAAGTTTGACTCATGATGTCAAATTAAGGCTCAGTTGAGGATGATCTAGAATCGTTAAAGGATTTGTGAGAATTTGATACTTATAAGACTTATATGAACTTAATACAAGCTTTATTGTTCAAATCATTAAATCATCACATTTAAGTCATAAATTCTTGTGTAATTATTTTTTCAAAATATTTAAAACATGTTTAAAAGTTCATTTTACCTAAAAGAATCCATTTGGAAACAATATTCATAATCTATTAAGGCAAATGAAGCTTATGACTTAACTTGTAATTTTGATATGTTTTAGTGTGCTTAATCAGATCTCTAAGGCATTAAGCCATTTAAATCATTAGGGTGCGTATGAGTTAAGTTATGTTAAGATATTAAAACAAATTACTTAGTCTTAAGAACATCTGTGGAAACCAATTGGGACCTAATTTGAGGAGTAGAAGTCATTTAAATCAATGTACAATGCTTGTAATGAAATAAATTTTTTTAATGATGTGTAATGTATATTACATGGTCGTACAATTAGCAAAACCAATGTTATAAGGACTATGTAATGGCCACGTCACCTAAAACAACTTTTTGTTTAATTAGTTTTCGATGTATTTGACCTCTAATTGCATATATTTGATATCTTTTATTTAAGGCTAGCTTAGTATTCATATGTGAAATATAAGTTTCTTGTTATTCTAATGAGGTACATGTCTTTTATTTCAAGCATCTATTTTATGAAAGAGACAAAAAGGGAAATGTAAGTATGTTCATGTCATGAGAATATAACTAAAAGTGAATCGATATTATGTGTATAAAAATAAAAGCATGTTGTTGTTATATGTATTGGACCACATTTTTATAAGGATTTGATTCATATAATATTAAATATCATGTTATTGAAACCAATGTTGCAAAATCGGCCAACTCAGTGAGTACTTAAGAATTGACCTTGGACCGAGATTAGTTAAAAGAATTCGGCTAAAATTAATTAGGCTCGGAGCAACTTGGTCATAATCAGGACAACTCGGGCCAACTCAAAGACTTAGCCAAACTTGGTCAAAATGTCAAAATTGAATTAGAATGAAAAAAAAGTCAAGAATTACAATATTAATATTTATATTTTATATATATTATATAACATTCTAACCTTAAAAATAAAGTAAAGTATTGAATTAACATATCATATATGTTTTCCCTTTCTTCCACCTCATATTCAAGAATTTTAAAATTAATATTTATTATTTGAATTAGTTTAACATTCGAACATGTATATTTTTATTATTATTTGTCTATTTTATTATGAACTTGATAACCTTAATTATGATATTTTAATATATAAAATTTCTTCAAAATTAGTTTTCTTTAGAATTTATCCTAGTGGACTCCTTTCACCATTTTCGAGTACTTGCTACTCCCAGTTGATCGATTTAGTAGCACCCAACGAGTTTTGCAACATGGATTGAAACAATGTCATTTAATAGTTATATGAAATTAAGTTTTTTTTTGTTACAACTAATAAGCACCGGTATCTGGTTTACAGATGTTTTAATATATAACATTCTAACCCTAAAACTAAAGTAAAGTATTGAATTAACATATCATATATGCTTTCCCTTTCTCTCATCTCATTTTCAAGAATTAATGTCTAGTATTTGAACTAGTTTAACATTCGAACATGTATATTTTTATTATTATTTGTCTATTTTTTGTGAGTTTAAGCACCTTAATTATGATATTTTAATATATAAAATTTCTCTAAAATTAGTTTTCTTAACAATTTACCCTAGTCGAGTACTTCATGCCCATGTTGAGTACTCGTTACTCTAGTCGACCGATTTAGTAGAACCCAACAAGTTTTGCAACATTGATTGAAACAATGTCATTTAATAGTTGTATATAATTAAGTTTTATGTTACAACTAATAAACAATGGTAAAAGTTGGGGCTAGCCACTCGGCAAACAAGGTGTTTAAGAAGGTGTTTCTAAGAAGAAGGTTATCAGTTTAATCTCTGAGATATAGTGACTTGCCGTTTTAAAAAAAAAATAAAAAATGGTATTTGTTGTATAGATGTTTTAATATATAATATTCTAATCCTAAAACTAAAGTACAGTATTAAATTAACATATCATATATGCTTCCCCTTTCTCTCACCTCATCTTCAAGAATTTTAAAATTAATGTTTATTTTTTGAACTAGTTTAACATTCGAATATGTATATTTTTATTATTATTTGTCAATTTTGTTATGAACTTGATCAAATTAATTATGATATTTTAATATATAAAAATTCTCCAAAAATTATTTTCTTTACAATTTACCCAAGTCAAGTACTTCCTGCACATGTTGAGTACTCGTTACTCTCATTCGACCGATTTAGTAGCAACCTAACGAGTTTTGGAAGAATGATTGAAACAATGTCATTTAATAGTTGAATGAAATTAAGTTTTTTTGTTACAACTTGTAAACAATGGTATTTGTTGTATAGATGTTTTAATATATAACATTCTAATCTTAAAACTAAAGTAAAGTATTAATTAACATATCACATATGCTTTCTCCTTCTCTCACCTCATCTTCAAGAATTTCAAAATTAATATTTATTATTTGAACTAATTTAACTTTCGAACATGTATATTTTTATTATTATTTGTCTATTTTGTTATGAACTTGATCACTTTAATTATGATATTTTAATATATTAAATTTCTCTAAAATTAGTTTTCTTTACAATTTACCCATGTCGAGTACTTCTCAGTTCTCACCCATGTCGAGTACTCATTACTCCCAGTCGACCGATTTAGTAGCACATAATGAGTTTTGCAACATTTATTGAAATAATGTCATTTAATAGTTGTATGAAATTAAGTTTTTTTTTGCTACAACTAGTAAACACAGATATTTGTTGTATAGATGTTTAATATATAACATTCTAACGCTAAAAGTAAAGTAAAATATTGAATTAACATATCATATATGTTTTCCCCTTCTCTCTCCTCGTCTTCACGATTTTAAAATTAATGTTTATTATTTGAACTAGTTTAACATTTGAACATTTATATTTTTATTATTATGTGTCTATTTTGTTTTGAACTTAGGTCACTTCAATTATGATATTTTAATATATAAAATTTCACCAGAATTAGTTTTCTTTACAATTTACCCTAGTTGAGTACTTTCCGCTCATGTCGAGTACTCATTACTCCCAGCCGGCCGATTTAGTGCACCCAACGAGTTTTGCGACATATATTGAAACAATGTCAATTAATAGTTATATGGAATCAAGTTTTTATTTTATTTTAGTTTTTATAATACGTTGTATAGATGTTTGTTTCAATTTAGTGGTCATATAAGTTTTTTAAAAAAACATAATTAATAATGCTAGAAGGTTTTCCTGTTTTAGTCATTGAAGTTTTAATTTTGTTATAACAAAAAAATTACGTAGAATATTAAATTCTATAAAAAAAATACAATTGTAATTTGCCTAATTTAATCATATGAACTTTTTCCTTTTTTAAAATTTAATCATATAAATTTTAAACTTTTATTTAAAAAGACTTTAACTAGTGAAAAAAAGTCCGATGACTTTTTGAAATTCATTATCAGATTAGTGTTTTAATTTTAAATAAAGTAGTAATTAGAAATTTCCAATGGTTAAATAGAAAATGCAAAGTTTGGTAGGGTTTATAGAATTTGATCATCTTAAAATAGAGGGGCCAACTTTTTATTTTGCCCCGGACCCCAAATATATATATGGACCAGCCCTGAATGTATGTTACTAACTTCGAACTATGCCATTTAACTAGTTATAGAACCCTTCGCAGAAACAAGTCAGGTTGTATAACTTGTTACCATATGTGGTTTGTAGATGGGAATGCGCCATCTACTTCTTATTATACACCTTTAGTTACTGTTATGCAGTTATATAATCATTATTAGGCACAGTTTTACTACAAGCACAATATCATATTGGTTTTATCAGATGCTGTTGTAAACCGAGTCATATAAAGGGTTCATATTCATTTATGCATATTTGACATGATTATGAAATCAGGTTCTATATTTTATTCTTCCCGGGTTAATTATATGTCTCCCATTGTAGTGGTGTTAGTCATAGAATACATTATGCAAACATGTGATGTAGTCCACATTTTTTATTTGTATAGTTATAAATAAAGAATACGATAAATTTAATAATAGTTCTGAGTTTGTTTTCATGTACAAGTACTATAGTTATACAACTATCACTATAACTTGCTGTTCTTCCAATAATAACAAAAGATAAAATAGAAGAAATATAGGGGCGAAAAAACGATAAAATATGAGAAGGTGGTGGGGTAATAACGTAAATAGGGTCGTTCAAAACGAATTTTTTTTTGAACCCCATCATCTTCCTCGTAAATTACATTTCTCCGCTGCTAGATATAGTCTTTGTACACCTCACCCCCTTCTATCTCCCCTTCCCCTGCCTTTATATACACCGCCCTCTATACCAATTTTATCACTCCTCTACTATCTCACCACCACCACCGCCGTCTCTCTCTCTCTCTGTCTCTCTCTCAACATGACAAAAGACGTGGCGGAGGAGGGATCCTTCTCGGCGAAGGACTACCACGACCCACCACCGGCGAAGTTCATAGACGCGAAGGAGCTGACAAGGTGGGCTTTCTACAGAGCTCTGATAGCGGAGTTCGTTGCCACCCTTCTCTTCCTTTACATTACTGTCTTGACAGTTATCGGTTACAAGAGCCAGATCGACAAGGGCTCCGACGCTTGCGGCGGCGTTGGTGTCTTGGGTATTGCGTGGGCCTTCGGTGGCATGATCTTCGTTCTTGTTTACTGCACCGCCGGTATCTCCGGTCAGTTTCCACCTCCTCTTTCCTTTTCTTTCAAGTGATAAACGATCTCCTTGAGATACTTAACCAAATATAAAAATATTATTAAAGTATTTTTTTAAAGAAAAGCTTACACAAAAATACGTAAACCATAAATAACCCAGCTAGCCTTGATTTTTGGAATTTTATTACTTATTTTTACGTTTATTTCTAAAAGTGAAGGTTAAAAAAAAAAACTCATTACTTAATATTTTTATATCTTCTTTTATATCATACCATAATTAAGCGATCTAGAGTTGTGTGGTCACAAAACAATTATTGCATTGTGCATATATACTTCTTTTGGTCTAAATTTCCAGACAAATTAAAAACGATAGTAATAAATATTTGTGTGAGTTTAATGCAGGAGGTCACATCAACCCAGCCGTGACCTTTGGTCTCTTTCTTGCTCGTAAGGTCTCACTACCTCGAGCCATCATGTACATGGTGGCTCAGTGCTTAGGAGCCATTTGTGGTGTGGGTTTAGTCAAAGCCTTCCACAAGACTTACTACACTAACTATGGCGGTGGTGCCAACGAGCTAGCCGATGGCTACAGCAAAGGCACCGGCTTGGGTGCGGAGATCATCGGCACCTTTGTTCTTGTATACACCGTCTTCTCCGCCACCGATCCCAAGAGAAGTGCTCGTGACTCCCATGTTCCTGTACGTACACCCTCTTATTCTTTGATTAATAAACTTTATGAACGTATGTGTGTATATTTCATCATGTTGTTTTGTGTGATGTGCACATATATAGGTGTTAGCACCTTTACCCATTGGGTTTGCTGTGTTCATGGTTCACTTAGCCACGATTCCCATCACCGGAACTGGTATTAATCCGGCGAGGAGTTTTGGAGCGGCGGTTATTTACAACAAGGAGAAAGCTTGGGATGATCAAGTGAGTTTTAGTTATTCTTCCTAACAATTTTTGAAAAAGATTTGGCTTCTTATAAACTTGTTTTCTGAATCGATTTTGCAGTGGATATTCTGGGTTGGACCCTTCATCGGAGCAGCCATCGCCGCCTTCTACCACCAGTTTATCTTGAGAGCCGGTGCAGCCAAGGCCCTTGGATCTTTCAGGAGCAGTGGCCATGTTTGAGATACGGATGCATTGTTCGCAAAAAGATTGGGGAAAAAATTGTTTAACTGTGGATGAAAGTATGTGGTGTTTTGGTGTTAAGAGTGTTTGTATGTCTTGTTTAAGGTTTTATTGCGAACCATGGAAATGCAATGTAAATTCTTTTTTAGGGGTACCCCTGCCCCTCGTGTTATTCTTGCCACTTCAGAAACTTTGTATTTACTCAAATTATTTCCAAGTTTTTTCTGTGTTATTGAGAATGTTGTCTTATGTAAGAATTAAATGTTTAATTCTGAGAATCTTACTTATTACAATACAATATGATATTAACCAATAAAGTGTAAATAAAATAAAACTATAACTAAAGAAAAACATGTAATGTTAAAAATGTCTTTATCTTACACATGATTATGTTTCTTTAGTGTTTCTTTATGGATTAAAATTTTCAATTCATACCCTCGTTTATAAATGCATAACACTTTGTGACCTAATAATTAATATTGGATTGAATGGAGTATTTTGTGTCAAAATGCGACCTCACAAAATTTATTAAACTTTGTATTGTAAAAATATTAAATACTGACCTATTTATTTTGTTAAAAATAATTAAATAGTTGCAATATTAATATTTATATTTATAAAAATATTAAGTATTGACATATTTATTTTAAATAATTAACTATTAAACAATTATAATATTAACTTTTTTTTGGTTTATTGACTTAAGATTTTGTTATACTTACTTTAAGAATAAACTGAGAAGTTATAATAACGAGGACCTAGAAAAATATATAGGTTCAAAAAAATTTATTGACATTTACCCCCATTAATTGCAAAAAAGTAATGGAAAATTTGTGAAATGACCAAAAAAATGGGGGTGTTTGAAAAAAATGATCAAGAAAATGGATGTTTCAGAAAATGACCACGAGTACAGTAGAGAGGTCTCTGCAAAACTCCTTCAGCTCTGAGAAATTGGAAAAGGTCTGAGGAAGTGACGCGACAGGGGTAAATTCGTAAAAACATACAAAAAAGAACTTAACAAAACTGAAAAAATTGTTTTAGAAACGTAGTTTTATAGTTTAATTTGTTATATTTAATGAATGTTATGTGAGAAATGGTGAAACCTCGTTAAATTAACAAGAAAACACTTATCAAAATCGTTTTTTGGCCATGATTATGCGAAGAACAATTTCTCAGAGACATGTGTTTGAAGAACAATTCCTCAGAGGGCCTCTGAGGAATTGTTCTTCAAACACATGTCTCTGAGAAATTGTTCTTCGCATAACCATCGCTAAAAAACGATTTTGGTAAGTTTTTTCGATTTCAAACACAATTTTTTTCAAACGATTTCAAACACAATTTATTCGATTTTGGTAAATTCAAACACAATTTTTTCGATTTCAAGTACAATTTTTTACACCATCCTTTCAATTTTTTTTAAAGTTTTCTTTGTATTTTTACGAATTTACCCTACCATGTCACTTCCTTAGAGTTTTTCCAATTCTTCAGAGCTGAAGGAGTTCCGCATCGTGGTCATTTTCTGAAACATCCATTTTCTTTGTCATTTTTCACAAACACCCCCACTTTTTTTATTATTTCACAAATTTTCCCAATAAGGCCCCGTTTGATACGCATCTTTCCAGGTCCAAACAGATCTTTCTGGCTGAATGGACCGGAAAGACTGTTTGATTTGCACAAAAGAAGGGGTCTTTCCCGGTAAGATATGTCTTTCCCAGAAAGCCCCAAAATCATATCTTTCTGGCTGAATGTGCTAAAAAGACAATTATACACCAAACCTCGCCTCTTTCTTTCTTTATTGGATTATTAATTTTTTTAATAACTTTTTTTTAATTTATTTTTTATTGAATTATTTTTTTTTTTCATCATTCAGCACAGTCAATCAGATGTACAATCAAACAGCATGATTTCTTTCCCAGTCAGAAAACTTTCCCAAACGGCACTTTACCAGACAGAAACTATCAAACGGGACCTAAGTAATCTTTTTTTGGTTTTGGCATCATGTTTAAAGAAGTTGAGGAAACACCTTCTTAATTTGGTGAACTGTAAAGGGGATAAATCCCCTTTTGATTACATCAGTCTTTCAGTGGGGTTGAACATGTCGAAGATGGGTAATGGAGAAATGTAATTGATTGATTTTTCAATAAACACTCGTCTTGAAAGGTGAAAGTGTTACTCATTAGTAGTCGTTAGAGCTGTAAACGAACTGAACGTTCGGCGAACCGTTCGTGAACTGTTCGGCGGGAAGTTCGTTTATTTAATAAATGAACGAACATGAACAAAAATTATCGTTCGTTTAGTTAAATGAACGAACATGAACAATGGTCTCGTTCGTTCATTTATGTTCGTGAACATTCGTTTATGATGTCCGTTTACGTTCGTTTATGTTCGTTCGTTTAAGTTTATTTATATTCATTTATATTCAATTTTTTTATTATATTGCCATATTATATGTTCGTTTATGTTCATATATGTTCAATTGTGTTTTTTTTATCTTTGTTCGTTTATGTTTGGTCGTTTATGTTCGTTTAGCATGTTCACGAACATAAACGAACGAACATGAACAAAGTAATTTGTTAAACGAACGAACATGAACAAGAAAATCTCGTTCGTTTATCCGTTCGTGTTTGTTTGTTGTTCGGCTAACTTAAACGAACGAACATGAACAAGACCTTGTTCATGTTCGTTTGGTTCGTTTACAGCCCTAGTAGTCGTCTTATGTTTTAAAAATATGTTTTTAGAAGTTTTGGCATTTATTTCTATTTTATTTTTCAGGCTTCAATATTAGTTCTTAATTTTCTTGAATCGTCTTGTGCGTGCAATGTTCTTTCTGGGAAGTAGGATTCATGACAGAAATATTAGTTGGATCAAACAGAGGAAGGTGTTGGCTTCAAATTATCGAGGGTGGATTGAGTATACGTAGACGGTAGATCACATGCATTAAACAATGTGTTGCTTTTGAAATATCGTTGTAGGTTTTTAAACGGACCAAATCGTCTGTGGGTCAAGGCCATTTCGGCTTATTGACTAACTTAAAGGTGGATTTGAAGTGAATGGTTTCTTAAGTACAGATCGAGGTCTGAAAAAACATTGGTGATTTTTTGCAAAACCACGAATCAAAGACATTGATTAAGAGGTATTCTAAAAAGAAAACAATTTACTACTTTTTGGAAAGATGATCGCGATGGGTGTAGAGGTGTCAAATGGTCAATCATATCATGTTATTTTCTGACATGAGATGATAATATCGTTGTTTATTAAGTAACATGAAAGCGAATCAATTAAAACACGAAACGACACAAAAAGTTAATATAAAATAATAATTAGCTCATTTAATTCATACTTAGCCATACAAAACACAACAATCACAACAAACACGAAAAACGCATGCCAATTTTGTTTCATGTCGTATATTTTTGTCGTGTCATGTCATCTTGATTGGCACATCTAATGTGGGATATGGTGTTTTATCAAAGATTCTATCGTTTGTATACTTTGGAAATGGATATAGATTGCATTTGGAGTTGGCGCTGAGATTAGAGCGGTAAACGAACTGAATGTTTAATAAACTGTTTGTAAACCGTTTGGAGGGAAGTGTGTTTATGTTCGTTTATTTAATAAATGAAGAAACATGAAAACAAAATTTCGTTCATTTAGTTAAATGAACGAATATGAACAATGGTCTTATTTGTTTAATTATGTTTGTTAACGTTCGTTTATGTTGTTCGTTTATATTTGTTCATTTAAGTTCTTTTTGTGTTCATTAATATTGAATTAGGTTTGAATACATTATTATATTACATGTTTGTTTATGCTTATATATGTTCAATTATGTTTGTTTATATTCGTTCTTTAATGTTCATTTAACATGTTCATGAACCCAAACGAACGAACATGAACAACGTAATTTATTAAACGAACGAACATGAACAAGAAAACTCGTTCGTTTATTCATTCATATTTGTTCGTTTGTTCGGATAACTTGCATGAACGTGAATATGAACAACCCTCTTTTGTGTTCGTTCGCTTCGTTTACAACCCTAGTTGAGACTGAGAGCTAGGGGCGAACAACAACACTTCACAATTATGCTCGAGGTGTGGGATGGATATAATTATTCTAATGAATATTATAAGTGATATTGGGAAACATATATAGCCATTTCTTTAGAAAATAAGGAATGAAATACATGTTAAAATAAAGAGTATCAATTTAATAGTTGAAGATGTGTCACAAAAATAGATTAATGAGTGTTTATAAAAGATAACTTATAGAAAAAAAACTAAATACAAAAGGATTCAAATGTACAACATGTAAATGTTCTATGTACATCACCTAAGACCAATTGTTAATCGCCGTTCAACGGCTAATTTATTTAAAAAAAATAAACAAAAATTTAACCAATTTATTTACCCATAAATACCACACTTTTACCCCTTATTTTTTACACCATTCTTTTCTTTCTCTATACACAAACTACACACTACATCTTTTGTAACGCCCTGTTCCGAATAAATTCCTAATTCGAGGTTGTGGCCCGAAGAGCGGTCCTCATAAGGATTAGGGCCTTTAAAAAGGTAAGATTTAGTCCCATTTGGTTGTGAGTAATGTAGATATGTGACCCAATAGTTCGGTTTGCACTCTGGAGCCCAAATGTATAATCGTAATTTGATAACTCGGCTCTTTATGATTTGGATTTTCGTTCGGAAGGTTTTGGGGTGAGGATAGGTTGTTAGATGTGTAGATCTTCTCGCCACCTTTCCGTGGATATAAAGAACGCCAAAAACGGAGTTGAAACGAAGAAGTTATGACCGTTTGAAGTTGGAGTAGTTCGGGTGAGTGATCGTTGACTTGTTGACCAAGCTCATTTAAGGCTCACGACGTGAACATGAAGTGCTCACGATGTGAGGAGCGTCTGATGCACCAAAACTCTAATTTTCAGGTATTTAAAGGTATGAGATGATTGGGGTTGCTTCTACTCAACCTCTTTCACTCCAAAGTCACTGAAAAACCCTAGATTCGACCTTCTTGAGCCCTTGAGCCATTGTTGGTGGTATTTGGTGTGTTATGGAAGTTGATTCCCTTGAAGAAGAAGAAGAAGAAGAAACTCTTGTGGTGGTTCCTTTTGCGAGATAAGCTCCTCCTAGTGGCATTTCTGAGCTCATAAGCCTCTGTAAGTCTCAAAGATACCACCTTTCTATTCTAATCTTATTAGATCTAGGTTATGGTTACCTTCTTTGCATAAGATCTTGAATTAGCATGCATGAGTCCATAAAGTTTCCAACTTTATG